AGAACCGGTAGTAAAAGTTTTTGAATTCTACCACTGGTTAGAACAATTAATCAGTGGAACCATTTCTTGCCTCCAGAAGTTGTAAATGTTCCAATAGTGGAAGTTTTAAAGAAGAGATGTCCGGAATGGTATTTCCTGCCTACGTTTCCTGCCTAAGCAGGGGGTTGGACTAGAAGACCTCCCAGGTCCCTTCCAACTCTGTTATTCTATTGTATTCTAATTCCTTATTCTATTGTATTGTATTTTAATTCCTTATTCTATTCTATTCTATTCTAATTCCTTATTCTATTCTATTCTATTCTATTCTATTCTATTCTATTCTAATTCCTTATTCTATTCTATTCTAATTCCTTATTCTATTCTATTCTACTCTATTTTAATTCCTTATTCTATTCTATTTTAAAAAATGCACTGCGGCAAAACGGCAGCATTAAATGCTTCACTTGACTGATGCTTTGAGTTGAGCGAGCAGCAGCTATATAGAAGAGTTAAGGAAGTGCAAAATATCTTGAGCATAGAAACTTTGCACATATGTAAAATAAGCAATTAGACATTTTGCACCCATTGGGCTCAGCCTGCTGCTGGAATCCAAATTGCAAAAGTTGCTACATAGCACGTTAATCTGATTTGAGTCGGATTTATTCTACAACAGTAAATGTGCCAAAAAAAAAAAAAAACCACAAAAAAACCTTGCGATAGCTCATTTAGTGACTATTCAAAGGTACAATGGCACTGAAAAAGGTGACATGACCATAACTTTTACTGGGGTAATTGCCAATGAATGTTTGCATTAAAACATTTTAAAATATTGCAACATAAAAAGCACCAATTGGAATGAGCTTTACAGGTTCTCGACTTCTAGCAAATTATTTAGTGACCGTTTGAAGTTACAAGTGCACTAAAAGGGGCCTTATGACTGTTTTTCACACTTACGACCTTTGCAGCATCCCTGGAGTCATGTGTTCAAAATTCACACTTGGCAACTGACTCACATTTATGATGGTTGCAGTGTCCCGGAGCTCACACTCTGGCAGAAGTAGAGTTGAAGGGGACCTTGGAGGTCTTCTAGTCCAACCCCGTTCAAGTAGGAGACCTTATACCACTTCAGACAAACCTAAGACTGAAATTCATACATTCTACTTGCATTTAGGCACAGAAGTGATTAATGATCGGGCACTTAACAGCCAGCATGTATTTAAAATGGTTGCAATATCCCAGAGTTTTGTTGATTGCCATTTGCAAGTTTTCTGTCTGGCCTCTGATACACAGAGTCAATAAGGGAAGCCAGATTCGTTTAACAACCATGCAAGTCACTTAAGGACTGTGGCCAAAAAGATCGTAAAATCAGTCTGAGCAACTGTCTTGCTTAGGAATGGAAATTCTGTTTGAAGCCCAAAAGTTTTGGCAGAAAATTCAGAAATGGTTAGAAGAGATGTGTAAGATTAAAATAGAATACAGACCTGAAATGTTCTTGTTAGGAATTAATGTGGGAAAATACGAAAGATATTATATACCTAATAATTCATGTAATGACTGCTGCAAGATTGGCCTATGCACAACAGTGGAAATGTAAAGAAAGTCTAAGTGAAATAGAAACAATTGAAAATTTTTTGGATGTGTGCAGAAATTGACAAACTGATAAAAGAATTCAAAAATAAGGATGAATCAGATTATTACAAAGTATGGGATAAGTTTTATTGTTGGTTAGAAAGGAGGAAGGATCAAGATAATAAGAAATGATTATATGTATATATTATATACTATGTATATAGAATGTAAATATGTACTATTTTTATATATGACTTAGCAATGTAAGACAACTATGTGGGTTAGGAAGATTGCACCATGTTCATTGTTTTTAATGTTCTTTTCTTCTTGTTTATGTTTGTCTAATAAAATAATTTTTTTTAAAAAAAGGAATGGAAATTCTGGTCATAAGTCGAGAAGTACCTGTAGCTGAGAAAAATTACATGCAATACAAGCTACGTGACAGCTTCCAGCAATTTTTATTTCTAAAGTCTTTTTTCTGGACCCCGTCATGTATTTAAATGAAAGTACATAATTTTACCATTGAATATATGAATGGTTTTCTTCCAAAACGCTGTAGTTATCTTGCCATGTCTCAAGGAGATCTTCGATGTACAGACCTTGAAAGAAACGGTAAAGAAAAAAAAAAAGCACGAATATGAAGATTATGGAGGAGGAAGGAGTAGAAATGTTAAGATGGGTTACAGAATGGGAAACACAGGGAGTCCTCAACTTACAACCGCAGTTGAACCTGCAAAGTGAGACAGTTGAGTTTTGCACTCTTTTTATGATCTTTCTTGCCACAGGTGTTAAGTAAATCATGCAGCAATTCAACCATCACACAAGTAAATAATTCAGCAGCATTCATTATAGAAGAAACTTCTTTATATACAATACAAAGTATGATGCATGTATACAATACCTGTGATGACACAGGGTGAGATACAAAATAAACACAGTCACAAAAACAGGTGAAGCCCCTTGTATTCCTTCACTGTGCTTCAAAGCTCCAAATATCCTTGACTGGAGACAAAAAACTCCCCCACAAACAGTTACAAAAAGGAGGAAATGCCTATAAATTATAAAGAGTAAAAACAACACAAACCACACTGAAGCAATTAAGGCAACCAGGCAAGATAAGGGGGCTTGAAAACATCCACAGATATCGGAACACACACTGGGAAGGGCACCAAACTCAGAGAGGAACGACAGACTTGAGATATTTCCACGCTTTGTTTCCAGCACTGGCCCATACGCATGTCTGTCCTTTTAACCAGTTCTCACAGCTGCAGCCCATGAAGAGGGTCAAGGCCCTTTCCTCCCCCGTAGACCAGGCCATTCACGTCTCTCCCTCATCCTCTCCTCCCTTCGTGCCCTAGGATGGGGAGGGGATGGGCCTGGGTCTTCCTCTGACTGCCCAGCCAGCCTCTACCCTTCCCCAGCCTCCTGAGCCACACTTCCACTCCCTGTCGGCTGTTCCTCCTCTCCCTCGGAGTCAGTCTCCAACAGGGGCATGAGAATACCCATGCAGCAGAAGTCAGAACCAGAACTCAGAATCCAGAAGTCATATTCACAGAAGCAAAAATTTGCACAGAATCACAGGAGCCTTATACAGACCAGTTTAAGCTAAGCCACGCTCAGGCTCCTAGCTGTCGGACATGGCTCACAACTGATCCTGTTTCTTAGTCACCAAACAGTTCCCACTGGCTGACTTGTTGCCATTTCCATTTCAGTCATGAATCCTTATACACTGACAAATCATTGCTGTCAGTAACACGGTTGTTGTAGCACGTGCTCAAAATTCAGACATTTGGCAACTGGTTCATCTTTATGACAGTTGCAGCATCCAGAGTCTTTTTGTGACTTTCTGACAAACCAAAGTCAATGGGTAAGCCAGATTCATTTTTACAACCACGTTACTAACTCAACAACTGCAGTGATTCACTGAACAGCGGTGGCAAGAAAATCGTAAAACTGGGCAAAACACACTTAACTGTCTGGCTTAGCAACAGAAATGTTGGGCTCAACTGTGATCGTAAGTCGAGGACCACTTGTATGCGAGAAATTCAAATGAGATCTTGGTTTTTACAACTCTTGGTATGGAATTTACCTCAGAAGCCCTGCCAGGCCTCATTTCTCCTTTAGAAGTTCAATGCTTCCTCTGAAGAAGGGCAAATTTAGCCTGGGAATTTGGCGTTACTGCAATTATTTTCCACTGCTTCCTGTGCTGACTTTAGGAGACCAAATGAAATTTTTTAAAAAAGTCCTTTTGCAAAACTCACTTGAGCCACAAACACTAGGAGAGAACACTGCCAGGTGCAATTATTTCTAATAATTTGGTTTCTAGTTACAGAAAAGAAAATTACGTACATGTATCTGCAGGCGTGAAAGAGGGAAAGAAAATTATGCTCTGAATTCTATCTCTGGGTCAAGTGGTTCTTAACTTACAGCCACAATTAGACCAAAATTTATTTTTCTAAGTGGGACAGTTTTGCCCCATTTTATTACCTTTCTGGTTATTGTTAAGTAAATCACTGCAATTATTAAGCTAATAACATGGTTGTTAAGACTTCCCCATTATCTTTTCTTCTCAGAACGTCATAAGTACATGCCAGTTGCCAAGCATCCAAATTTTGATCACATGACCATGGGGATGCTGTAATGGTTGTTAAGTATGAAAACGATTACGTCACTTTTTCCAGTGATGTTGTAGTCACTTCTTCCAGTGATGTTGTAACCTCGCACAGTCATTATACAAACTGTTGTAAGTCAAGAGGAGAGGAAGGAAAGAAGGGAGGCAAGCAAGAGAGAGAGAGAGAGAGAGAGAGAGAGAGGAAAGAAGGAACAGAGGGGAAAAGGAGAAGGAAGGGAAGGAATCAGAATAGAAAAAAAAGGAAGGGAGAGAGAGAGAGCAAGGAAGGAAGGAAGGAAGAGCACGCGAGGAAAAAAAAATGCAAGCATGCATTTTAACTAAATGCAATGTATTGCCATGTCAAAAACCAACAGGAAAATCCAGTTATGATCCTCACCCTTCCCCTCAGAAAACCAAGCAGTTTCAAAAGCCTTACCCCGGGGCAAAAAATTAATCTCATTTTTGTAAAAGCTCAGATTCCACAAGTCTTCCTCACTGACCTCACTTTCTTCCAATCCCTGGAAGATAAAAGAGAGAGAGAGGGAGGGAGAGAGGGAAGGCAAATGATAAGCAAATAGGGGTATTATCAATCCATTCACAATTAAACCCAGGATCAGGAGTTCTGAAGGACCATTTCACCCATAAACCTTTGCTGTCCCATTCTTAACAACTTACTCCTTTTATGTACCCCAAATATCTTCACGGGTCCCAATACAAGGACTCTCTCTATTCTGATACTCAAATTGTATCAGAAAAAGCAAACACAAGCTTTTTTAAAAAAAAAAGTTTATGACCCCCTAACTTGAATAATTGCAACTCAGGTGGTGAGTAATCAGTAAGCAGGGGAAAAAATCAGGTCAAAACAACAAAAATCAACAGGCAATTTAACCCAAATTTCTATCACACCCCTCCAGATGGAAACTCAATCAATATAACCATAATGCACAGAAAGTCTTACCGGATAATGCCGCCTGTACTTCTGCATATCTCTGGCTGCGACCCAGTTACGCCTATTTATGCTCTAATTAAAAAGACAATAAAAGAGCTTTATTTTTAAAATCTAAATCTTAAACGTCTGCAAAAGGAAATGTGACTTATTTTAATTTCCTTTGATTAGTGACATGCCGTCATCTCACATTGCTCTAGATTCTAGAAGCTGAATAGGGTGAAATAATATTTCCCTTCTAATTATATTCTCACCAAAGCTGCTGAATTGAGACTCTTTTTATCCCAGTTTGAAGAGGGCACTCCAAATCTTGTATCTCAGATCATGTAGACACTGACCATTTTTATATATTTCTATTTCTCTCTCTTTCTCCCTCTCTCTCTCTCTCTCTCTCTCTCACAAGTTAACTAATTATATTTTTTTGTATTGCAATCCATACTTTTTTTTTTTTTTTTAGAACAGGAGTCTTCAACCTTGGCAATTTGAAGATTTGTGGACTTCAATTCCCAAGAATTCTCTAGCCCGTATGGAATTGAAGTCCACAAATCTTAAAAGTTGTCAAGTCTGGTGTAGAATGTGACTTATCCCCTAAGGCTAACCAACCAATCAGATGGCACCCTCTAGACCAGGGGTGGGCAAACTACGGCCCGCGGGCCACATCCGGCCCGTTGGTCTTTTTAATCCGGCCCGCCGAAGATTGGTACAGAATTAAGGTTTGATGTGAATGATTGCATTCATTTGATTTTGACTTGTAATGACAGGCATTTCGACACCAGGTGGCGGCCCGTCTGTCAAATTTTAAAAGTCAATGAGGCCCCTGAGCCAAAAAGTTTGCCCACCCCTGCTCTAGACTTACTGGGCAAGCAATCAAACCTGGTTTAGATGCCACTTTAGTGATAAATCAGAAACCAGTCTAGTCTCCCTGCCAGGTGTGCCTAAACGCACACCTATACTTTTGCACACTCTTGATGCAGAACATCAGTGGGATGAATTGAGCCAACTGAACAACTGACGGGGAGTGGGACTCCGTTGGCTGTGGAAGAAATTGGGGAAGAGCAAAGTCCAGCTAGGCAGAGCAGGGGAGAGGTAGAACAAGGGAGGGGGAAATCAGAGGAAGACCCAGGCCCACCCCCTCTTCATCCTAGGGCACGCAGGGAGGAATGGAGAAGAGAGCAACATGGGTTGCGTGGCTTACGGGGAGGAAAGGGCCCTGACTCCCTTCATTAGCTGCAGTTGGGAACAGAGTGTATAAAAAAGGTAAGCTGCGTGCAGCAAGCCATTGGGAACAAACGTGATTTTATGTTGCATCGTTGTGGCTTATTTGTGTTCCTGGCATCTTCCCAACCGTGTGAGTTTTGCTGTGCTTTCAAGTTTGAAATTCCTCCTCCTACCCTGCCAAACTACTTACTTCTGTTTGGTTTGTTTGGATTTTAAGTTACAGTTTGTGTGTACCTTCTTTTGGACTGAATTTTCTACTGTCAAAAGCTGTTCCTGGGAGAGTTTTTCTCCAGCCAGAAGGTAACCTGGACATTGGGGGCAAAGTTGGAGATAATAAAGGAACTCTTATTGCTTATCTGACTGTGTTGCCTTTGTGTCATGCCCCAGGTCATCACAAGCCATGTTGATTGAGCAGTTCAGTCCCAACAGAACTCTGGGCCATGCTAGATTACTGGACTAGCTGGATGAAGAGAGGACATTGAACACTGCAGGCATAGCAACTTCATGACTTTGGAGTCTTTGCAGGTTGTATCTTTTGCTCTTCAGCAGTGTTTCTCAACCTTGGCCATTTGAAGACGCGTGGACTTCAACTCCCAGAATTCCCCAGCCAGCCATGCATCTTCAAACTGCTAAGGTTGAAAAACACTACACCTATTGTCTATTCTTACATGCTTGATTGTGGGAGAAATATTTTGGATATTCAGAAACCAAGGGTGAATGTATTCAGAAAGCATTCATGTTTCATCAAAATATGACCGCTTTGCATGCATGACCAACGAATGACCTCTTTTAGTACTCACGATGGAATAATGGACTTCATGAACGATACAATGGATACTCAACCTAATGTCCTGTACATTGTTTTGCAAAAGCATTAAGAATTCCAGCTCAGCTGGTTTTCATCAATCTTTGCACAGAATATAGTTTCAAGTTTAGATAAACAATGCATTGAATTGACTTGAATTGTTTGAGGGAAGTTTTGGTAATAGAAGGTCTTGTCATAATTTTTGCCACTTTTATTCATGGGTCATAGTGTGATTCTTTTTTCTTCTTCTGGTTTTCAGCACATTGTTGTTTTAGTTCATCTTAGCTCAGTGTGGCATTTACATGCACTGTGTACTCAAAAACCGGTATGTCAGGAGTGCCAAACTGAATTTTTTTGAGGGGTGGATCAGCATTGTAGTCCTCCTCCGCGGGCCGACTGGGGGGTGGGGGAGAGAGGGGACAGAGGCCTCTTGTAGCACCCTGCCAACCAAAAAGAGGCGTGGGGAGGTGTGTGTTGTCCCCCCCACATCCCGTTTTGCCCGCACGACCCATTTTGGCTGCTAGAGGAAACACAGGCCAGTCCTTTCGCTATTTCCAGGCCGGCACCATGGGCCAGATTTAAGCATCCCACAGGCCTTGAGTTTGACACCCCTGATATATGTCATTAATTTGAATATTTATCATATGCTTCATTTAGCCCACTATCCACCATCTACCTTTATATTATATTATTTTTTAATTTTATATGTGTGTGTGTATGTGTGTGTGTGTGTGTTCCAGCATAACTCTAGAACGCCTCAAGCAATTTTAACCAAACTTGGTACACAGATTACTTACTCTCTGGAAACAAATACTGTGGGAGTAAAACATTCCTAACCCTTGTCGTGGTATGTGTTTTGTTAAGATACAGCCTGTTGTGCCTTAAAATGGCTTCTACCGTACTGCCTTAAAATGGCTTCTACTGTACAGCGCTGTGGAGTTGCCATGGTAACAACTTTCACAGTACTCCACAAGGGGGCTCTCTCTGGTAATGGGGATAATCCAACATTAGAAATTACATTTGTTCCAGATCACCAAAATCAGGGCTTTCTGGCCTAATACAGGATTAGGATAAATAAATACCCAGGCAATGCCGGGTTATCGTCTAGTATGCTGTAAAAGAGTTCATTTTTGTTGGTCAAGGCTGCAAAGAGGTTATACAAGTAGTCCTTGACTTACCATTCATTTAACAACCATTCAATGTTACGATAGTACTGGAAACAAAGACTTACAACTGGTCCTCACCCTTACGACCGTTGAAGCATCCCCATGGTCACGTGAGCAAACTTCAGGCACTTGGTAAATCCACCTGTAGAGGTAATCCTTGATGTACGACCACAATTGAGCCCAGAGTATCTGTTGTTAAGCGAGACATTTGTTAAGTGAGTTTTGCCCCATGTTACGACCTTTGACAGCGTTCTTAAGTGAATCACTGCAGCTGTTAAGTTACTAGCAAGATTGCTTACTGAATCTGGCTTCCCCATTGACCTTGCTTGTCAGAAGGTCGTAAAAGGGGATTACATGACCCCAGGACACTGCAGCCATCATAAATATGAGCCAGTTGCTGAATTTTGATTATGTGGCCATCGGGATACTGCAATGCTCGTGTGAAAAACGGTTGTAAGGCACTTTTTTGCAGCGCCGCTGTAACTTTGAACGGTCACTAAACGAACTGCTGTTAAGTCGAGGACTACCTGTATTTACGACCATTACAGGGGTCATATGATCACCATTTACGACGTTCCCAGCCAGCTTCCGACAAGCAATCAATGAGGGAAACTGGATTTGCTTAAAGACCACACTTAACAACCATAGCGATTGGTTTAATAACCATGGCAAAAGTGTTTTAAAATTAGGGTGTGACTCACTCAACAACCACCTGGCTTAACAATGGAAAATTCTGGGCCCAACTGTGGTCGTAAGATGAGGACTACCTGTATTCCAACAAACCGTGTATTCTTTCTGATTTTGTCCACATCTTTGGTTTCTGAATATGAGAAGTAAACTTTCAGCGGTCAGCAGGAATGGTTAAAAATCATGCCTCTCTCATCCCGGACGAGAATTTTCCTACCTTCCATTTTTTAACTCCTCCTGTTGAATGGCCTGGTCTTTGCCACTCCTGAAGAGAAAACACACTTTTAAAAATAAACATAGAATAAGGTAAAGGGCAAAGGTTCCCCACGCACATACGTGCTAATCGTTTCTGGCTCTAGGGGGCGGTGCTCATCTCCGTTACAAAGCCGAAGAGCCAGCGCTGTCCGAAGACGTCTCCATGATCATGTGGCTGGCATGACTAAACGCCGAAGGTGCACAGAATGCTGTTCCCTTCCCACCAAAGGGGTCCCTATTTTTCTACTTGCATTTTTTTACATGCTTTCAAACTGTTAGGTTGGCAGAAGCTGGGACAAGGAATGGGAGCTCACTCCATTAACACGACGCTAGGGGATTCGAACCGGCGAACTGCTGACCTTTCTGATTGACAAACTCAGCGACTTAGCCACTGAGCCGTGTCCCTTAAACATAGAACAGAATAAACAGAATATAACAGAAATAGAACAGAATAAATAGAAGTAAGAAATAGAAGAATAGAACAGACAGAATAAATAGAATAGAAATAAGAAATAGAAGAATAGAAGAGACAGAATAGAATAGAAATAAGGAATAGAATAAGAATAGAATACATAGAACAGAACAGAATAAATAGAATAGAAATAAGGAATAGAGTAAGAATTAGAATAGAAATAGAACATATAGAATAGAAATAAGAAATAGAACAGAATAAATAAATAGAAATAAGGAATAGAATAAGAATAGAACAGAACAAATAGAATAGAAATAAGGAATAGAGTAAGAATAGAAATAGAATACATAGAATAGAAATAAGAAATAGAACAGAACAGAATAAATAGAAATAAGGACTAGAATAAGAATAGAAATAGAATAGGAATGGAATTGGAATAGAATAGAATTCTTTATTGGCCAAATGTGATTGGACATACAAGGTATTTGTCTTCGTTGCATAAGCTCTCGGTGTAGATAAAATCTATAAGTGATAAATCATGATCGTAGTCATCATAAAAAATGCATTCATCATAAGACAGAGCATCCCACAGAGGCCAAAAACGCAGAAGACCCTGTGATTTTTCTCAGCTTAGTTCTTACACAATGGCATTTCAAACCTTTTACTCAAGAGCCATTGACTTTTACTTTGTTTATTTTTACTTCCTAATTGTGGGGAAAATGAAGTCATCGCTTGCCATTTAGAACTAGCCTGAACTGGTTCAGATTACAGCTTCCTTGACTCTTAAAATATGCCGGAAGCTTATTCGGTTTCGTTTCTTCACTCATCTGGCAAAACTAAATCCTGTTTCTCCTTGGCTAGATTTTTCTTGCAAGTTTTACTTTCCATTTCCCTAAACTGGAGTAAACAGAACCTGGATTTTCTTCCTGAATCTTAGAATTTGCATGAAAAGGGACAAAATTGTCTGAAACGGAAAGGAAAAAAATAAAAATTTATCTGCCGAGGTTGTTGTTGTTATTATTTTGATTGAGTCCAAGTAGTTTTAGGACTATTTGCTGTTGTTTTGAATTATTTCTAAATGTGAGAAATGTTGTATATAGGCAGTCCTCAATTTATGGCCAGAACTGAGCCCCAAATTTCCATTGCTAAGTGAGTTTTGCCCCGTTTTGTTAAGTGAGACATTTATTGAGTTTTGCCCCATTTTACAACTTTCCTTGCCACGGTTATTAAATGAATCACCCCAGGTGTTAAGTTAGTAACTTGGTTGTTGTGAATCTGCCATTTGTTAAATGAGATTTGCCCCATTCTACGACCTTTCTTGTCAGTTGTTAAGTGAATCCCTGCAGTAAGTAACATGGTTGTTAAGTGAATCTGGCTTCCCTGTTGATTTCGCTGGTCAGAAGATCACAAAAGGGAATCACTTGACCCCTGGGATGCTGCAACCGTCATAAATATGAGTCAGTTGCCAAGCGTCTGAATTTTAATCATGTGATCATAGGGATGCTGCATTGGTTGTAAGTGTGAAAAGCAGCCCTAAGTCATTTTGTAATGCTGTTATAACTTCGAGCAGTCACTTAAAGGGACCGTTGTAAGTCGAGGACTACCTGTATACCTAACTGTCCCCATCGCTGCATTCTATACCAGCTGAAGCACCCGGCTACTCTTCAAGGGCAGCCCCATGGACAAGTTACAGTACAGGCGGTCCTCGACTTACAACAGTTCGCTTAGTGACGGTTCAAAGTTACAACGGCGCCGAAAAACCTGACTTCTGACCCATTTTCACACTGACGACCACAGGAGCCTCCCCTGCGGCCACATGATCCAAACTCACGACGCTTGGCAACTGACTCATATTTATGACGGTGGCAGGGCCCCAGCTTCACGGGATCGATCCCCTTTGGCGACCTTCTGACAAGCAAAGTCAAACGGTGGGAGGGAG